CAGACAGAGATCAATTACTTGGGACAATTGAGTCACCCGAATCTTGTTAAACTTGTCGGTTACTGCCTAGAAGATGAACACCATCTTCTTGTCTACGAGTTTATGCAAAAAGGAAGTCTCGAGAATCATCTATTCAGAAGTGAGTCCCCCTGAAGCAAATCTATGTTTTTCGATTGATGAATCGCCGTTATAGAGATTGTTTTCGTGTTGTGGTTTTGTTCTGATGGAAGTGGTTTTGATGCAGGAGGTACATATTTTAAGCCACTACCGTGGTTTCTACGGATCAAGGTTGCGCTTGATGCAGCAAAAGGGCTTGCTTTTCTTCACAGCGATCCTGTCAAAGTGATATACCGAGACATTAAAGCCTCGAACATTTTGCTTGACGCGGTAATGCAGAGAAAAACATATTCAAGGAATTAGATGTTTCACTTGTCTTCAAGGACTACACTGATGACTTTGTTTCCCTTAACAGGATTACAATGGAAAACTTTCCGACTTTGGGCTAGCTAGGGACGGTCCAGAGGGTGATCTAAGCTATGTTAGTACAAGAGTTATGGGTACATATGGCTACGCGGCGCCTGAGTATATGTCAACAGGTAAAAAATCTATCAATTTTTGAAGAGCATATGGATATAATGGATTGAATCTCTTGTTTCATATCTCCCCGTTCTCATATCCTTTCAGGTCACTTAAATGCAAGAAGCGATGTGTACAGTTTCGGAGTTGTGCTTTTAGAGATTTTAACGGGTAGACAAGCATTGGACCATAACAGACCGGCTAAAGAAGAAAAGCTTGTGGAATGGGCTCGACCGTTCCTCACAAGCAAACGCAAGGTTCTCCTAATCGTGGACACTCGGCTAGAGACACAGTACCTACCCGAAGAGGCAGTGAGATTGGCCAGCATTGCGGTGCAATGTCTCTCGTTCGAACCAAAGTCACGCCCAACCATGGACCAAGTGGTCCGTGCCTTGCAACAACTTCAGGACAACTTGGGAAAACCGACTCAAGTCGATCCGGTTAAGGATACCAAGAAAATGGGTTTTAAAACCGGAGCTAAGTTACAAGAAAATCGGTTTAAACAAAAACCTTTTGGCAGGCACCTAGTGTAAGCCTTTTTTAGATTTCTGAAAATGGGTCAAGCTGGTTAATTCGGGGATGAACATTCTTTCGGGCGGTACATGTTACTGCGAAAAATCCGTTTTCTACGGATAGATAGCGGTAATGGACAAACCGTGCAGGTCGAGACTGATAATGGATACATTAAAATTTGCGGATACATCATACATTTCCCATACCTAACCTTAGAGAACATGTTTTTAGCCTTTGTGCTTCCTTGTGTGTGTGCCTGTAATATGGAGTGAAGTATATATGAGGAACATTGTTGTATTTTTTTTCCTGGAAAATTTGATGTAGAGATTCCTTTTTACTATATCTCCAATTTTGGAATCAAACCTTTTTCAATTTGATATATTTAGTAACAACTCACAAGTCGAAACACTTCAAGTTTATTCAGTGACGCAATTGCAACGAATAACACAAATCCGGTCTAATTCGGTTAAAGCATTTTGGTCTAATTCGGTTGAGCCAAATCGGTCAATTTAAATCGAAGAACGCGTGTCGGTTCTTGCTTCTGCATTTGAACTGTGTGCCGTTTTTCGGCTTATCCGCTTAGTGAGCAAAACCACTTTTGCAGAGAGGTTTTAGCCGCAGAAGAAAGGGTTTAACTCTGTCTTCTTCTTCTGAGTAATCGAAGCTATGATGACTTCAACAAATACTATGGCTATGCTTCAAAACCTCGTCTTCTCTGTACCCATCTCTCGTATGGTGGTTCGCCGTCACTCCCTCGCTA